ATTAAAAATATTTTACAAATCAATGTGAAATAGGAAGAACGCAGAGGATGTAAAATAGAGGCCGAGTGTCGTGGAAATCCTGATAATGATAGGGAAAATGGCGAGTGAAAGAATACGATAACGGTGAAAGGAGCAACAAAAAAAAGAGGTAGCTTACAGAGCTTCAGGAGACGAGGCCTCGATTGGATTACTCAACATCGTATGTTTATAAATACGGAAGAAATAAAGAGAAGGGGTTTGCAACAAACCAGGGCATGATCATCCCATGTTTGTTCATGTGTTTCTAATTTCTTGACGAGGTACCAAATTAAGTTTATTAGTACCGCCATCTTGGATAAGCCTCGGGATTCGTTCGACACGTTGCATGTCTTGAGAGAGCATTTCTATATGCTCGCTCATCATTCACTGTTCTAATTATTGTTGGAAAGCTAGTTTGTATACACAGACTCTTCTCAGTAATATTATGTAAAACAGAGTCTGAATTAGTCATGTTCGTTTCTGTAATATTTAATTTACTGGGAAGTATATAGAGTAAGGATTTACTTCTTACATACTTCAATTTTAGTGACTCTGCACAGTAAAAACGCTGTTTAAAAAAGTGATGTTCACTTACAGTTGTACACTATCTTAAACAACAGTTGATCAAATTGTAAACAATGTTGCTCGAAACAGAAGTAATTTTGTTAAACATTCGTTGTTTAAAATTTAATGACTGCTATATTTACTATACGAGAGCTTTTAGACAGTGTTGTTTACATATGACGTCATGTGTCTCGTGCCAGTTAAGTGCGTGTTGGCTAAAGGCTTTATTTCACATTGTTATGTTTAGAAACAGGTTCCTTGAAACTAACATGCAATTGAAATTGACATGCCACTTAGAAATGCAGTGCAGCTGTTAAGGCAAAGCTCATTGTTATTCATATTAGATGCATACACACAATGCAAGTGTATGCAAGGGTCTTTTGCTGACTACACAGATTGATACATATGTAAAAGCACATGGACATTGAGTCTGGATTAAACTACCAAAGCAACCACACGTGTTTCTGCAGGCTTCATTTTGTTTGTCTCTATACTTACATTTATTTAGCTTAATAGTTATTACTTTCCAACCCACAACACAACATCATGGCCGACCAAGCTACCGACGCGCTTCTAAGTGACTGGGGATTCAATGGCTTAATTGAAATCACTTTTCTATTAACCACTTTGAAGTTTTTAATTTATAGCGTAAGTTCACAGTTAAAATTTTCGGTATCTGTACGCAAATGTCAGAATACAGGTAGACTTAAAATCGTCGCGTCATGCAGTGCGGCACTGATCGCGCACTCGGTTATAACGTGTGCTAAATTCCTTGCCATAGGGATTGCATGCATCCCTATATATGCAGTTTATACGTGCGTGCATGCGCGCTCATGCAAAATGGGCACTGTTTTGGCGCTAATTCATGAATTGCAGAATTACCCTAGTCTTCATATACCTATATAGAGACCCAGAAGTAGTGGTGCACTTATTCAGAGTATCAAACCCAAATTATACCCCATTATACAACCCTTTTGTTGTAAACAACCCCCACTGAACAACAGCTCCTTTTTAAACAACTTTCTTTAAACAACCCAGTTGGTTTAAACAACCCCAACTGAACAACAGCTCCATTTTAAACAACTTTCTTTAAGCAACCCAGTTGGTGTAAACAACCCCCACTGAACAACAGCTCCTTTTTAAACAACTTTCTTTAAACAACCCAGTTGTTGTAAACAACCCCCACTGAACAACAGCTCCTTTTTAAACAACTTTCTTTAATTAACCCAGTTGGTGTAAACAACCTCCACTGAACAACAGCTCCGTTTTAAACAACCGTCTTTAAACAACACCGGTTGTTTAAATTGTGATTTTAAACAAGTTGTTCAAAATGTTGATCAACTAAGTGTTTAAACTTTAAACAACTCGAGTTGCTTAACATTTTAAACAACTCTTAGATCAGGTCACCCGTTAATCAAGAGTTGTTTAAACTTTTAAACAACTTGTTCACAAAAATTTTAACTGTGTGGTATTAAAAAGCGTTTCTAAATTTCCTCATGTGTACGTTTAAATCCATGTCTATCAATACATTTTTTGAATATCATTCGTAACTCGCTTTTGTGGAGAAGCATGGATCCACCCAGTAAGATTGCACAAGTTATGAAGGGCGAAGGGGAGGGGCGGGGTAGTCTCAGTTTAGTTGGGTGAAATGCGAATTAACGGGTCCACCGATTAGGGGTATATTATTTCCTTTTCCACGTCCTCTCTCTGTCTGTCCGTCCTTCTCTCCTTCAAGTTCCCTTCTTTTCATCTTTTATCAGGGGAACGTATTCCCCGGACCCCTCTCTATAGCTACTCCATTGTATGTATATTCTGATCAGTTTTGTTATTACTTTTAATATGAGAAATTAGACTTGCCGACGAAATAGGACAGACATGTGAATTGTCATGATACTTCAAGACTTGCAGAATATCTAATATAGCTGTGGCTTGAATCGCAAAGTATTATTTCTATTCATCTAATTATCTTCTACCTCACATTTCCCGTGATTCAATATTTACCAGGCGTGCTCCGAAATTCAAAGATGAAATATCGAGCAAAGTGCAAACCAATAGTCGATATCAATACTGAATTCAGAATGACTAGTTCGCATTAAAAACATGTCTACCAAAGACTAAAATCGTTTCGTATGTTTAAGCTTCACTGTTTTGTTTTTTTTGGCAAATTGTAGCATACATGAAATATGGAGAGAGGTCTTTGGCATCCTCAACATGAATGTACCTACCGTCAGCTTAATTAACCCGAGATTCTGGAAAAATACTGAAGTCAATCGTCACCCAGTGATCTCCATCAGAAACATTGACGAAATGAATCGTGGCTAGCTGGTCCATACCCGTTTGCTCAATGTTCAGGGGCGGATCTAGCTTTTTGCTCAGGGGGGTTGACCAATAATGACGATGCGGAGCATCGTCCACGAGCCGCGAAGCGGCGAGCCGATTTTTTTGGGGTGTTTATTTGAACCCCGTAAGTGATGTTTTCCTGGCATCTATTAACACAATGGAGACCATAAAAAGCAGTGCAAGATAACGTCTTTTTAAATCAAGTAACAGTTAAATACACAGTTATATCCAGAGTTATCATGTGTTTGGTTAAGTTACCAGATGAGTTGAATATCTTCTCACAATATTTGCACTTGAAAGGGTTTCTCTCCAGCGTGCGTTCTTTTTCTTTCTTTTTTTCTTTTTTTTTTTTTCTTTTTTTTTTTTTTTTTTTTTCCTTTTTTTTTTTTAATGTGGGGATTTTGGGGATGAGAATCGGCAACGCTGGCCTAGCTTGTCACTTCGGCGGTGGCCCGTGTCCTCAAAAAAGCTGATGGGGGGGGGGGGGGCAAGGGACTCTGTGACATTTGTTCGCCCAACCCCCCCCCCCCTCCCCCCAAAAAGAAATAATAATAATAATAATAATAATAATAATAATAATAATAATAATAATAACAATAATAATAATAATAAATGAAATAAATACATAGAAATAGAATAAAATAAAATTACAAGTTTAAAAAAAAAGATAAGATTTTAAAAAATGGTCCCCGGATTTTTTTTTTGGGGGGTTGCAACCCCCCCCAACCCCCCCTCTAGATCCGCTTCTGATGTTTCCCAGCAATGTTTGAAGGTATCTCAAACTGCGACCAAAGCATAAATGCAGGCTTCTGAAAATAAAAATTGAGTAATAACACAACTCAGTTCTGGTATAGTGCATAAAATATTTATCAATGTTTCTATGCGCCTCCAAAGAGCTTTGGATTTATTACCTTGGCTCGGGGTTTGATTGAGATCTCCATAATAGATTTACACCGCCTTCCACTTCGCAATGTGCTTTGTATTGAACGAGTGAAAAAGGCGTGATTTTTAATTCAATCATGAATTATTCTCCCATAAATCCCATAGGTACACTTTCAGGAAACAATTTTCACGAAGTCACTCTAGAATTACAATTTGTCTTTCTACCGGTAGGTTGCTTTATGGATTGACGATAGACTATACTGTACGCGGATATCGTGTGTGATATGATAAGTGAAATAATTTCATTACCTCCAAAAAAACAACAGTTTCTTTAAAATAATAACCAATGAAGGACAGCCAAATATTATGTAGTGGTACATAAACATGTTAATGTACACTATTGTTGCTTTAAATCCAGCCTATATAGCTGGTCATAACGTACCAACCAGTCATGACCAAGAATCGACTCTTAGACAGGATTTTCACAGGAGTACAAATCGTGTATTACTTCATCTTTATTTTTGTATTTAAGATTAAGAAATTATTACAACAAAAACAACAACAATTTATTGTGTCCGCTTTAGGAAGCAAAACATCACTGGATCGTGAGTCAGACTCCGATCACCATTTTTTGATTGGATGTTGAGATATTTTGTTGGTAACCCGCATGGTTTTATTTCTTCTCGATTAAAAACTCGAGTGCCCAGAGAGACAGGGATATAATTCGTCTTAAAGGTAAAGACCAGTTTTGGAAACGCCCCAATTTCAAAAAATGAAATGGAAGCTCTCATTACCAATCATGTGAAAGAATATGTTTTGACTAATACATGATGATAAAAAATTTGCCGGGAAACCGCCTACTAATTCATATATTTGGTAAATTTGTTTCTCTCGTGGTCTGTGAGAGATATAGGGTAGTCCCATATACATCTTTCTGTGTATAGTGCTTGTAACTTTACGAAGAATGGGCCAAATTTCTTATCATTTTGATGATTCCAGAACCTTGCAGATGCTAGATGCTAGATGATCAACCTTTTCTGATCGATTCCACAACGTTTCTTTCACAATGCAATCGCATGACCATATTGGTATTTACCTTTAACCACAAATACTGATTTTAGTATCACTACAGTCATGATGCCTAGGTATATTGAATAACCAACAGTACTGTATTTTATTTGTATCATTGCAGATGTGATGCCAAGTGAAACATGTGGGTATATCGTAGATAGAGGTGATCAATTCAAGTTGAGTTCAATACGTGATCCAGCAACCGACATCACAACCAGTGATCAGGCCGTGGCTCCCTACGTACCTTCATATCCAGACAGTGTCGACTGTGAAATCTCCTTTAGAACCACACCAGACAAAAGGTTTTTCATGAGGATTACTCATTTCCAGCTCGAGCTCTCAACGTGAGTATATCCTTGAATAAATTAATTCAAATCGAGTAATATTATTATTTTCACAGAAAACAATACAGTATATAAAACAATCAGTGACAGACTAGTGTTGTGAATAAAATTGACAGAATCATAAAAAGCACAAAAGGGCTTGTTAGAAATGACCCCTTAACAGATTTGAAGATTAAACATATAGGCCTATACAAATATAATTATTTCATAAATTATGTTTATGTTTATCAGTATATGATTACTTTTATCAGTGTAAACCTCTCCAATTATCATTACAAAATAATCTCAATCAATAAATTAAGGTGATCCTAATGGTTATGAAATTAAGAAAAAGAAGATGAAAACGCACATCTATCTATCTATTTCCATGCTTGGAGTCCGTTGGGGCGACGATAAAATGGACCTTGAGAAACTGGTTCTCCATAACTTTCTGTCTCCACCTGTTCTAGTTAGCTGCCCATATGACAGTCAGTTCATCATCCTGTAGTTGGTTTACCCCTCTTTCTTCTCCTATTAGTTCCTCCTTGCAAGATGGTGTTTGCCAAGCTATTCTTCCTTCTACAGTACTTACATTACATGTCCAAACCATTGCAGCTGTCTTCCTTTCACAATTGTGATGAGATGATCGTGATTATCTCTGGCACTTTCTTGTTGGACTTGCAGAATCATTCTCATACAATTCATCTCTAAGGCATTGATTCGCTTTTTACATCTCTGCATTCAGAGTCCGTGTTTCAAAACCATATAGAAATAGTGATGTTACCAGAGAGCTCTCAGCAGCACTCATCTAGATGTCATTATGATGTTCCTTTCATTCCAAATTGGTTTAAGACTGGCGAGGGCAGATGTGGCAACTGCAATTGTGGTTTTGACTTCCTGAGCAGATTATAAGCATCCTCTGTGTTATTTGACCCATGATATTTGAATTGATCAAAGGTTTCAAGCTTTTCTCTTCCAATATTAACTGTTACATTCTCATCGGAACCCATCTTTAGGATCTTGCGCTTCCACAGCACTGATTCCCATGCCAAGTTTTCTTGCATTTTCTTCCAGTCAGTCGTCTAGTCAGGGAACTGAGCTAATCTTTTGTTCCACCAATCAGGTCGATGTCATCTTCTACATAAGCTGACCACATGCTGACTGATCTCTCAAAATCGTCAAGAGCTTCTGTCAAGATATTTTCCAATACAATTTTAAAGATGATGGATGAAAGCAAACAACCTTGCCTAACGCCAACTTTGGTAAAGGAAACCAATCACTCGACTCATCTCCGTGTCAGACAGCACTACGATATTGCCTTGTACAGTGCCTCAATTGCATTCCCTTTGCTGATGTTAAATTTGCGAATAATCCCTCATTCCATCATGCCATACACGGTCGAATACTTTCTTGAAGTCTATGATGAAAATAATGATAATAATGATATTAAAAACGAAAATGGTGACTAAACAACATTTTCATTTCATACATTCATATCTGTTAATTTACATATATTATAACAAATGGAGTGGATTGACCTTCCTGCAGGAGTTGCTGATTGATGATCATGTTATATGTGAGCATTTCCATGATAATGATAATAATTATTGATAATGACTGTCTTTGTTTCAGCCGATGTCAAAATGACGCTCTATTACTGTACGATGGTTCAAGCTCCAACGAGGGTCAGCTGGTGAATAACCTAAGTCCTAACGGATTATGTGGACTGACCCTGTCACTACCAAACTACTTCTATTCCACAGGCAACGACGTTACAGTCAGATTTAAAACCAATGAGAGAAATAACAGCTATAGTGGTTTTGTGATGCTTCTTACCCCATACCGGCTTCCAGCTGATGGTAAGTATGACGTCACAATAAAGACGCATGCCCGCTGCGTCACACGAGGCGTCATTTGTTTGACGCAGGGCTGCCATGTCAGAGTAACATCGTTTAAACAAAATGCACAATGCTGTGTACTAATTGGGTGCATTACTGGCGCATGCACTTGGTAACCTAAACTTCACAAATTTGATTAGCGCCCTAACGCAATCTAAATAACGCATCGTGTTCGACAGGCGTATATCGAGTATCTGTATGTCATAATACACACACACAAAGTGGGGGAAACGATACACTAAATAGTTGCAGGCAATAATTTTCAATATTTTCCCTTCTTCCAAAATCATATCAAGTTGACACACTACAAAAATGGTTCTAAAAAGTACCCTTTAGGTTGTCTGAAAGTGTTCTTTCTATTGTTGGTGACTTCATAGTGCTCATTAAAACCAATGAAATGAAGCTGTTCGAACTATCAAAAGTCCCATATTGTGATCGTATCCGTGCAGGAGCACCATGGCGTATATTTTCATTCAAACTCATAAAATAGTCACCCCGTTGTCAAATTGAACAAATTACCGTGTAGCTTTCTGTTTAATACATGTGACATAATAATTAACTTCCAACCAGATTGTTTGCTTTATCATAACATTTTCATTCTCATTTCTTTTTCACTGCAGGAGCGAATTGCACAGAGGATGAAATGACGTGTAAACTGAGTGGGAAATGCTTTACTAAAGATGCATACTGCAACAGTGTAAACCAATGTGAAGATTCGTCAGACGAACCGGGTCTATCTGCATGCCGTAAGACATATCGCAAATGTTCTACTCTATAATAGTTAACGTCGGTGTTAGCATTGAAACGAAAGATATCTGAGTGGCTTATTAATGAAAATGTATTGCAAATTATACAGTAGGTTTGCGGTGTGTGTGAGAGAGAGAGAGAGAGGTTTGAGGAGTCCTAAAAAGGACTCTGACTCGGTAATCTTTCTTGGAGGAGTGTAGTCCTGAAAAGGACTGTTTGTTATCTTTCTTAGCATATAGTTCCAAGGAGAACTATAGCGCTTGGATATTGCAAATTAGTAACCGATTTAAAGAAAAATTGTTTCAGATATCGGATTGTCTTTGTATCAGACGCACACCTATATTGCGTATTTGAAGGGATAATTTGAGCGTTTTTTCTCTGACAGATTTGTAGCCAAATCATAGATACAAATCAAATTTGTTTTGGTTAACGATGACATTTATTTGATCGTCAATACTGCACAGCTTGCGCTTCATAAAATTAATGACAAGATACAGTGGCTGATCCAGGCCAAGGTACCGTGGTGGATGGACACAAGTCTGACAATTCTTTAACAAGCTAAAATAATTAAAATGAAAAAAAGTTATCTCACTTTCAAATTCCAGGTGACTTTTGTGGTCCTAATATTGCTGCCAGTGGCACAATATTAGGGCCATAATTTTTTTATTCAGAGAGGCTTTTGTCTCATGCCCCTATATCCGCCAGTGACTGACTGAGAAAATGGGCATTTCTCTCCCATAATATCTCCTTGGTCGCCGTGCAACCTCGCAGAGAGCTTCTTGCAAATATTTAGGATTTCGTAGTGAAATTATTAAGTATGAAGTAATTTAAGGTACGGTTTAGCGAGAGAGCAGGATCTATACCATACATTTCATTATGATAAAACATTGAAATATGAAATGGTGAACCAGGGATAAATCTTGAGTAGGAATCCTGCGTGTAAAGGTTATTCAGAAATTATAATTTGAAAAAGATTGAACATCACACACCTTTTGTTTTTGACGACGTCATGTATTTTATTGATTGACTGATCTGTTATGTTTAACATCGTCTACATTCTTTTCTTTTCCCCCTTTTTTTGGTGGTACATTTTATACCTTTAGAAAGCTCCTCCTCTCGTCTGTGTGGGAATCACATGATGGGACTGGTTCTAGCCTTATTCATCACCTACATCTTTACTGCTGCTAATCACGTGATCTACACACCTCGTCATAGTTCTACCACGGACCCTACATTCTAGCATTCTCTACCATTATGACGTTACCAAAATTACGAATTTACTCGAGACCGCCGTGGGAATTATTTTTCTCTTCAGAAGGAAACGCTATCCCTTGGACTTTTAAAGAATCCTTCGAGTGATTTTTGTTTTACCCGTATAAGCAAGGCTGATGATCTAATTAAGAATATTTTGATTTATTTTCTTATATATTATTTTTTAATCTAAGAATGGTAAAACGAAGGTAATGTGGGTGATTTGATATACGTTTGTGTAAATATTACAATGTACAGCATCTTTACATTTTTCATACTTGGATAAAACTTGTAATTTCTTTCCATGGGGAGTAAATGTAAAAAAATGTTCGATTACACCATAATATGGTAAAATAATTAGTGAGGACTTTTCATATCAGAAGAGGGATCCACGGTCCACTTACGGGAATACAGGACGAGTGTAAGGTAAGGAAACAAAAGAACAGAGTGATGATGAAATGGAACACAAGACTTTCGGTGTTGACATTCTTTTAATATAAGGAAAGAGAGCAAGAAAAGGAGAGCAGATTATGGACAAATTATATAAATCTGAAGAGTGTAGTTTGGGAAAGAGATACATAACGTCCCTCCTTGGAGTAAAGGATAAACGTTGAATAAAAGAGGAAGAAGTGTCGGATTAGACGCATTTCAGAAAAAAATATTCTCTCTACTTTTTCAAAAGAATGATACTCCTGTATATCCGAAACCTTCTCACAAACCTATAATGCGTAACGAAAAAAATTCCTGTGGTACTGGTTGTACATAATAAGGAGAATTTTACTTTGTTTTGGATTGACATCTACTCTGACGTTCTTCTTTCTCTGACAAAGAAAGTGTGTCGAAGTGAATTCCGTTGGTATCTTTGTTTGCTTTACTGAACAAGGCATGTAGATAAAAAAATACTTTATTGAATTTGAATTATAAAGAGTATGAAGATTTCAAGATTTTGTTTTCATTCTGATAAATCGCCTACATTTTATTAACTCTGCCTTTATACTTGACAAATAATGGTAATTAAAAACAAAGATTTGATAGCTAGACAAAGTAATTAATACTTTTATAGAACTAATACTCTGCAAATTATTGAAGGATTACCGAGCCGCAAATTATTTGGCGGCAGGGGGAAGCAAAGATCTTCCCAGGCGGAGGAATAGCGAGGAAGGGTCGGGAAGAAGCGGAGGTCACATAATCGCTTTCTTATAATATCCCCCCCCCTCTCTCTCTCTCTCTCTCTCTTCCATTTATTTTTGTCATTTATTGTGGGGAGCAAGCGTACACACCCCTTTGTTAGACATCACTATTTACATCAACACGATGCTTGTATTTCGTAAAATCAAGGACAAATATATATCTTCTTGTTTTCATATATTAATGAATAAGATACGTAATGTAAAACGCAGTTTTATCTTGTAGTATTAGTTAACATTTTGGTGTACTTTACAAAAAAAATGTAGCTGTAAATATTTCTTATAATGAGTATTTCAACGCACTGGCTGCTAATTTTGTTGGAAAGAATGTATATAATAGAGGACATGTTGTAGATAGATAAACATTGTAAAGAAGTGTTTTCATATTCATCTATATTCGAAAAAAGGAAATTGCTCAACACTCTTGAAACAGTTATTGTGTCTTTTAGTTGACATATATTGATGCTACATACTTCCTTCGTTTGTCAACACGACAGAGGGTCATTAAGTATATGACATTTGGACTGACTTTATTGGCTGAGTGGATTGAAGGAGACTGTAGACCTACACGGTTTATATTATATTTGGAACATAGCTGCGATTTTGAGATAAAAAGGCCAACAGATTATTACAAAACAAAATGACGTACATGTATGTAACCCATTGTAGCGACGCCCGTAACAATGATGATGCTCATCATCATGCTTTCTTTATGTAAACATGGTAAAGATGTCAGTGGTCATGGCATATTATTATGCAAACAAGGTAATATTTACAGACTATGTGATTTAGGTGTGATTAGTCATATTAGCATGCAGTCTACCCCTTGATGGGGATCGGGATTGATATTATGTGGTTCTTAACCTGCGCATGCGTGTATACATCAGCTTTTGATCTGTTTAAAGGTAATCAATTTAGCGAATCAGCATTGACCCCTTAGGTGGAAAGTGTTGTCAGAATTAGTTAAATGTAGTCAATTAGAAGGTCGTAAATCGTCAACGAGTCATTTGTGTTGCCTCTTGCCTCATAACATGAACGTTTATGCGCTGATGGTCATGTTTCTATAGACCGTAGACGTCAATAGATAATTGCAATCGATTGAGAATTCATGAAATGTTGAGTATTAAGGAACATTTTTTATTTCATCAACGTGGATACAGTTTACACACATTGATTTTCGATATATACATTAGGAAGCATTTTCATGCATAATTTGACATTGCAGGAATACATGATTGACTGAATCTCGCAAAATTTTGCGTAAACGAATGAATGTATTTCTATTTGTAATCATCAGTTGTCTTGTATTTTGATATTTGTAGCTTCTGCAAGCGAAAACAAATTATGCTGATCAGGAAAGCTTTGATGTCAAGGTACCTTCGTACCCAAGTAAACGTCGAATTATATGAAAAAGAAAAAAGCAGAGTCGATGTACAAAAGACATTGATGTCATGCTTTAAGCTTTCAACATGTTTATGCCTTTGTTTTGTCTATGGTCTATATTGAATATGCTATCATACGAAAGCGGTTTCCGATGTGTATAAAAAGTTGTATACAGAATTCTTAGCTTACATAGGAAATATATATTGGTCGAGTATTTTGCACTGATTGTATAATATTACTAGACGTACATGTACATCGAGCAGCATTGTGTATTTACGTAGATACTTTATTATCAGGGTGTATTTGGGTGTCATGTGCTCTTTTTTTGTTTGATAAATAAATAAAAGTGTTATCTATAATGCAAAACGTTAGTACTGACTGATAAGAATTATCACAAGGGCCGTTTCTTATAAAGAGTTGTGAATGGTCCGGATTAATCGTAAGTCTTACATCAATCGCAAGCTCCTAATTATTCAGTGCAGAGATGCAATTGATATTAAGTTGCGATTAATTTTAATCAGTCGTAAATGTTTATAAAAAATGGACCACTAATCTACACATGTTATCATCCACTTTACAGTTGTTCACCAAAAAAAAAGATGCATATAGAGAATTAAGTGAAGAGGCAGTTAAGTGTGTCGAATAACAGGTGTGAAATTAAAAGACGAATTGAACAACATCCCACTGTCGAAACTGTAGTTAAAGACAAAATTGTTCATAATATCATACCCCACTCAAAAGCACAACATTCAACAAGTTCAAAGTCATTGACAGAAGAAAAAAATATGGTGCATTGAATTTCGTTCACGATAATCATGATAATAAGGTCTGAAAATGTTTAAGTCCTAAATCAGAATGTTTAATTTATCTCTCACTTTTTAATAAATTAAATCGTTTACACACCCCTTTTTCTACGAATAATGTACAATGGATATTTGAAAGATGCACACTATATCATTTAGATATTCATTTAGCTGTCAAGCGTTAATGATCACACGCAAATTTGTTTAAAACCTTAATATCTTATATGGGATTAGAAACGGACTGATAAATCGGATAGATTTCTCTCAAGTTATAAATGGAAATGTAAAGAGGTAGAAATAAAAATAGAGAGAGAGGGGGAGGAGAGTGAGAGAGAGAGAGAGAGAGAGAGAGAAAGAGAGAGAGAGGGAGAGGGGAGAGAGAGAGAGAGAGAGAGAGAGAGAGAGAGAGAGAAAGAAATATATATAGATAGATAGAGAGGGGGGTAGGGATAGATAGAGAGGGAGGTAGGGACAAAAAGAGAGATTTATACAATATAGGCCGAGAGAATGAGCGGGAGATCGGCCGAGATTTGTACTTTAGATGATTATTACACAACTGTTTATTCAAATATCAAATAGAAGGACTTAAAACCCCCTTTACTATCAGGAGGAATACAATAAATATATACATTAAGTAAATTGACAAATCCATAATGGCGAGCCATATTGATGCAAACCTGACCTGTTTATTAAAGTATAAGGCAGACAACTATCAAGAGGGCGACATTTAATGTATAAAAAACAACCAGGTTGAGGCCAGATTGTTGAAAGGAGGACGTTTGATTTCTGAACTGACAGATTCGAGGAGGCGATGATCCGAAGATGGACAATTACCGCACTCTGCAATTGTAAATGCGTCGTTTAATTACGAATACTACCGGGTAGTAATGTGGTTGCCACCCCCCCCCCCCCCTAAATCCTGTAGATGAATCGACATTCCTAGCGCCCCATGTCGTTTAAACCAAGACTTCATTTACAAAATAATCAATGACTGGTTCATAACTCGGGGAGGGGGTAATATCCGAAGGGACCATTTTTTTTTCTTCTTACCGAGACACTGAATGGGTCAAGAGCAAAAGTTACAAATATGTTGAACATCAGCATCATTATAGTTATCATAATCATCACCAACACCATCGTTATTATCACCATCACCATCACAATTATCATCATTATCAACGTCAGCAGCACCATCATCTTCACCACCAACATCAAGCTTTGGAGTTTTTCTGAACTCCATGTAAATACAGCAAGGTTGAAAAGTGATGGTTATATCTTTAAATTACATAACCAATCATTGACAATCGTGTTCTATTCTATTCTTTATACTATTCTTCTAGTCTTTACACTGTCTTGTAATCATGAAATAAACTCAACCAATCATTGGACATCATCATCATCAACGAACACCAATGAACAAAAGATAATACCACTCAAGGTTTGTCCATTTTTGTGACATTTTCTTTTTTTAATGGTGACAAACATAAATCGCCAAACTTGTTTATCTATCTCCTGTCCCATCAATCAACAAGAACAAAACTTAAATTGAAATCAAAAGAAAGTACAACACCATTAATATCATCGACCATTTATACATAGCATTGTATGAACACATGGCCACTCTATATAGACATTAAAATTACAACTCTTTAGGCACGTATAGAATGAGTTTATTTGTCACCCCTCCCATATGTACAGATAAGGGAAGCAATGAACAAGAGAAACATGATTATCCAGGCCTCGTACTTCAAGGGGAAATGCATTTTAAATGTAAAAGTAGACAATCTTAACTCATTTTAGTCAAATGTGATTGTAAATCTTTGTCATTTAAAGGGAAATTACCTAGATTTCGAAATTCCAAAGTAAGAAAGAAAGTATTGCAATTCCATGGTTAGAATTTGTACAACTTGCAAATGATTATTCTATACTTCTGTTTGAATATCCCATAGGCTTACCCTTTGTATGTGAAGATACAAACGAAATCCTATAGACAGAAGTAGATAGGAGAAAAATATTGTTTTATATGTTTTTCCAAGTATTCTGACCCCTTGATTAAAGCTTTATTTTTTTACCAATGGAAAATACAAATACATATACAAATAGATTATTAAGG